GATCAGACATGATCTTATCAAATGGCAAAGTTGGCTGAAGGGACAGATGACCTACTTCTGATCTTAATCCATGTGATGGTATTTTGACAGATAAATCTCAGGATCCCCTGTGTCTTATCAACCACTTTCTCAACCTGCCCTGTCACGTTCACTGATTTGTGCCTATTAATCCCCAGGTGACTCAAGTGCTGCACCCTCTTTAGAATTGTAGGAACTATGAGTCAGCTAGCAAGGAATTATGGGAGTGCAATGACAAGGGCAAAGAATGGACCAGATATGTTTAATGAGCGCCAGCGTCATAACAATTAGATTTAATGAGCTACAAGTGTAAATAGAGGTCATACCTCTTGTAGAGAAGAGTGAACATTAGCTCAGGGAAGTAGATGAGTTGGAACTTATCTATGTGGCTGTGTGTGCTTACAGGACCAATGGTTAAGAGCATGGAGTACGACTGTGAATGTTACCTTAAATGGGATTGCTGAAATCCTCGTCTTGTCTCTTCATTGCCCTATCCCCATTGATCTGCAGCAGCGTTTTACAGATCATTTGTAGGAAATGGATGTGGGTGGGTCATGCAAGAAATGATAGCCAAGAGATCAAACATTGAAACGAGGAGTAGGTGTTTTAGCCGTTCCTGCCTGTACCCAATGGTGCCTTTAAAATTCTAAAACATTGTCTGTTTCTTGAATATTCTCAGTATCTTGGCCTCAGCCTGTTGAAGATTGTTCCTGCTGAGAGGGATAGATTAGCTACATCACATCCTCTCAGAAGATGCTGCTGATCCCTCTGCTGAGTGTTCAGATGGCCAAACAACTTCTTGGATCTCTGCTTTATAATGAAGGAGTACCATGTTTTTGTGCTATCTGCCTCAGTGACAGTGGGCTCAAACCGTTCATGTATTGTGACCCTACAACTGAAAATGTGCCTGTTGGATTATTAGCCTTTAATCTCCAGGTGAATATTCTGGCCCTGTAACTTTGGTGGTGGTACAAGGGTAGCTCTAAATGGAGATTTAAAGATGCATGTCGAGCTTCTCTAATCTTGGCACTTCTTTAGAAGCAGAAAATTGACAATTGACAATCACTACAGCTGAATGATGCAGCACAGCTTTGAAGCTTCTCCAATTTCTTCGTCTAATACAGCAGTAAAGCAGTGAAACAATGCTTTGGAGAAAGATATACTAAGAGCAATAATGTACCTCAGAGAACAAAGACTTGACTGAGGGGGTAAAAGCCTCTCTCGTGCCCATTTTATGAGACACTTCACACTTGAAGGTTCTGCTCAGGTGCTTATCCATATTATGAGGATCACCCTCAATGCTTCATGATTTGGGCTTAAAATTTTTTAATTGGTATGGATTCTCCTCAGGCTTAAATTGTTTCCAGCTCAGGTTCTTATTTGTAAGCTTTGCAAGCCTTTGCATTTATGAATCCTGGGAGCCAGGTTCCAAGGTTCCTTTTTTTTCTCGAGCCCTCTTCTATTAAATGTTCACAGTCATCATGACAGCAAAAAGTAGCTCCCCATCACAACATTCACAGATGTGTTACAGCATATTTTCCAACGCAGTGTTCCTTTACATAATTACTCTGGCAAAAATTTGACCAAGCTATGCTCATTATCAGCTAATGGTCCATCCTGTTCAAATTACAGATAAAAAAGAGGAATGTATGAGTGTCATTGGTCCTAACCTTCTACATAAACCAATTGGTGACAAGTAATTGTACGAGCTGAAGAATCTCCCACCAACCCAATTGAGGAACTCTCCAGTACAACTTCTCAGTGTTCCGATGAAGAGTCAGTGGACTTGAAATGTTAACTCTGCTTTCTCCCAACAGATGCTGCCAGACCTGTTGAGTTTTGCTAGCGATTTCTGTTTTAGTTAACTTCTTGTGCCTTGAATTAAGCCTTTAAAAAATGCCTTTTAGAACTCCGCCTTAAAAATTAATGATTTAAAAATGAAGCAATTGATCGCTTTCTCTCTGTACCTGTGTTAAAGTAACCAGAATATTTCCTAATGCTCAAAGGATATTGGTCTCAGGGGTAGAATTGAATTACTAGATCCAGTTAAGCGCTATACAGCTTTTCAATTTGAACCATTGATTTATTGTTTGATACCTAACACTGTTTACATCAACTCCTCATGTTGCAAGTCTGATTATGAAAAGAAAGATTTGCCTTGATATAATGTCTTTCAAAACCTCTGGACTTCGTAGAGAACTGAACAGCCAATTATGTACTTTTGTAATGCAGTTGCTGTCGTAATATAGGGAAGCATGAGTTTAAGCACAGAATGCTCTATGTCGTTGTGAATAATCTATTTGAGTGAAAGTGGGTGAGCAAAAGATATAGGCAAGGAAGAATTTCTTTGAACAGTGCCATGGGATCTTGTACATTCCCCAGTGAGAGCAAACTGGGCCTCGGTTTAACTTATCGTCTGAAAGATTGCACCTCCAAAAGTATAGCAGTCCTTCACTTCATTTGTTAAACCCACCTCGCTGTGTTCATGTTTTCAGATTTTATTTTCATCATTCCTATGCCTCACTGGTATTACCCTTGTCTTTGAGACGTCAAGTCCTCCAGTGACTTGAGCACCAAATTTTGGCTGATGTTCACATGTTATAATGAGGCAGTGCTGCACTGTTAGATTTGCTATCCTTCAGCTGTGATATTAAACTGAGACCATGGGTTGGATTTTCTCACCCCAAATTGACAAAGGTGAATCAGAATGTGGGAAATTTTGTTGAAGATCAGGGGAATACTTTCATGAAGCTGGAAAGGTTCATAGCATAAGCTGAGAATTTGCAATAGTTCATCAGGGCAGAGGCGAGGAGACAATGGGAAGGTCCCCACCACCTTAAGCTGGCCATCGTCTGATCATTGATTGATCAATAGGTCATTACACCAGGCTATTTCAACATTAACTGATCAAAAGGAAGAGGACACCTGGAGATCTGGGCTGCATTTTCTCAATGGAGGCCGCTAAAGCAGTATAGCAATAACATGCACAACAAAGAATAACAAGACCACAATAGAGGGACAAGGTCCATGCAGGAGAAGGAGGTAATACCCATAGCACAAGATCTACCAAAACATACAAAGCTATTTGGGCAAGTCAGAAAACCAGTGCAAAAGGTGACTGCTGCTCTCAGGCAGATTGTCTTGGACATTTGTTTCCTTGTCAATGAGTAGCTCGCACCTCACTCAAACCATAGCAAAACACTGACAGAAACACTCCAGGTCACTTTGGTCCAGAATTTCTTTGCTACTAGGTCATTTCAAGGCTTAGCTGTTGACTGCAGATCTCATGGTTGGTTGCTCATCACTGCCTCATCTTGGGCATAGATACCCTCATCAGCATGGCTGAGAATACACTAAATTTCCCACAGGCAGGACCTTCGAAGTTCTGACGGCATTATTTCACTGCAACCATTATATTTCCCAAGTCCAGTGAATAATTCACAGTACACATGTGCTGTCATGTCATGTAGAGACAGACTGGAGAGTTAGACCAAAACAAAGGCCTGAATGTGCCACTGGTCAGTGACCACAAGAAGAACTTCCTTCATTCCCTACCATGATGCTTTCATTCTTTGCCAATCTGCTCTTCAGTGGCTCTTCCACCTCACCAGCAGGGCTTCAGGCTTGATGAATTCAAGGGGACAATGGCTATCATGTGAAGAGATGGCTCTTCACCCATCTATTAACACTGTGAACAATGGCACAAGGACATTAGAATGTTTGCTGATCAGAGTCCTGAGTTCACAGTCCCCTTGCTAGCCAAAAATGCACTTTGGCTATCTGGACCACTATTGTGGCATCCTGCAGTACCACATATGCCAGGGTCTCTCTCTTTTCTGGCCTGCTATATGTTTTCTAACATGATCCACCACAACGAGTGACCTTGGAAGAGGTGGAGTTGGAGATGGAATAAAGTGTGGTGTTGTCCGAGGAGGATAACAAGCAGGACTTGGGAGAGAATATGGAAAAGCATGTCCAGGAGAACAACCTACTTCATAAGATGCTTCTGATGACCAGGGATGTGACCAAGCTCATGGTGTCACAACAAGGTCTTTCCAGGAAGCCCTTATTTCTGGGTACACTGATTCAGCAAAGGTTCAACTGATGATTTTGAAGGCCTGAGGGACTAACCATGTAACTAGGTAAGAAGCAAGCTTGTACAGGAAATACAACCATGAATCTCATCAATATAATCTAACTATTATGGATAGTTGGACTGCTGCCTACATATTCAACTGTTGTTGTAGAGAAGCTAATGTGTTTCATGTATACTTCTGCTGCTTTTCAGTGCAATATTAATAAAATCAATTCTCACATGATAATAGAATGATTTATTTACACAGTGAGCCTTACTTACTGATAACGTGCAACATTCGCATAACACTGCAATGACCTACTTAGTTCTCGAACCAGCACAGTGTCCTCATCATACACTCACTCCTGTTCTGCTATCTATTGTTGCCGTGGAGAAGATGAGGCAGCGTGGAGGCACCCGTTGAAACTAGAACTCCCTGTGTCTAAAGGTGGTAGAGGTAGAAAGCCTCATAAAATTTATAAAGTATTTAGGGTATGGACCAAGTGCTGGAAAATGGAATTAGACTAGTTAGTTGGTGGTTTTGGACCAGCACAGATGTGATGGGCTGAAGGGCCTTTTCCTGTAGACCTCTATGTCACTGTATATGTATGTTTTAGATCCAAGGTAACTAAATAATGCACAAAAAAGATGCCCACATAAGATTCCTATCCTGGAAGAGCTTATTTGCAAATTTTCAGGTGCCAGTCGTTTTTCAAAGCTCAGTGGCAAGAATGGACATTAGTCTATACATCTTTCCCTGGAGTTAAAGATACTGAAAAGTTTTTGAACACCTTTTGATAATTTTGTTTTCTCTGATTACCATTTGAATTATCCATCAGCCAGGATATATCCCAAAAACATGCGGACTATATCATTAAGAGTCTGTTACGTTGTCTCTTTTTTGCAGGTGACAGAGCAGCACTCCAAAAAAGCTAAATATGAACATGACACGCACCGCAACAGTCAGCTCATGACAGTGACAGGAACCAAGGTCTTGTTTTCAACAGTAGAAAGTATCAAATTGACATGAGCCAAATCAATGCCTTTGATTCAATTGACTTATCAACCAGGATGAGAACTGATCCCACGAAAATAGAAGATGCACAGAAGATGTTTACACCTGAAGATAACAGTGATCTACTAACGTGTCTCAGGTTCTGCAACTTTTTATGCCCTTCTATTTTGCATTTTTGGTCCAAGGTATCTCCTGTTTGAGATTGTCTCAACAAAAACACACCATATGTAAAGCAGGAAGATCATCTGGAGTGGAGATAGTAGGAACTGCAGATGCTGGAGAATCCGAGACAACAAGGTGCAGGGCTGGAAGAACACAGCAGGCCAAGGTCTAGGCCCGAAACGTCAGCCTTTCTGCTCCTATGATGCTGCTTGGCCTGCTGTGTTCATCCAGCCCTGCACCTTGTTGTCTCAGATCATCTGGAGTGGTTTATTTCCGATACTAGGTCTGGACCATATCTGGGGTTATTTCATGGGCATGTTAATCACCTCTAGAATTAAGTTGGCGTTTAACTTGGGAACTGTGGACCTGTACACCTACGTCACTCTGCCTATTAACGTTTCTGAGGGCCCTGCTATTTACTGTATATTTCCTTCCTGCATTAAACCTTCCAAAATGCATCACCTCGCATTGTCCAGATTAAACTCTGTACATCATTTCTGTACACCTCTTGCCTTTAATACAGCCACAACTGAATCCAGTTTTATTTGCTGGGCAGTTATTTTATCCTGATTGTTCTCTGTGTCTGCTCTATGAAAGAAATTAGAGGATTTGCATTTGGTTGAGTCAGCACAAAAACATCACTGATCTAAAACCAGTTTATCCACACTGGATTAAACCTGACATTCATATGACGCACATTGATCCCACCTTTCACCTTCATCTCTCTCTCTCACTGCTGTGTCATTATCCTTTGTGAGATCTATAGCCTCAAAACCTTTCCTGTCTCTAAATGCTCCGTAATATTTCAATGTCATCAGAGTTCAATGTCCTTTCCTTCACCAAATGGTGTAATTCCTTTCACCTGACCGCAGCAAACTATGCTCCCATCTCAGTGAAATGACTTTATGGACCAACTTCTTGGTTTTAACTCTCTTCAGAGCTGCACCCTGGCTCCACCACCTCTAGCCAAAAGACCATTGCAGATGGACTCGGCTGCTCTTACGAAGAAGATGTAATGGTAATGTCAATGGTAATGGTATAATGGTAGTGTCGCTGGATGAGTAGTCTAGAACCCCACGCTAACGTTTTGGGGACAATTCTCGCCTTGGCTGATGATGAAATTTGAGTTCAATAAAATTCAGAAAAATAAGTAGCGACTACTGTCGATTGTTGTAAAAATCATCTGATTCACTAATGCTTTTTAGGAAAGGAAATCTGTCTTCCTTCCCTAGTCTGGCCTAGGTGTGACTCTAGACGAACAGCAAAGTGGTTGACTCTTAAGTATTAGAAATGATCAATAAATGTTTGTCTAGCCAGCGATGCCCACAATCCATGTGTGATTAAAAACAATGCTAAGTTGCTTCTCATTTCACAAGTCGTGCACAAAGCTTAGTTGCCTCTGTTTTAGCTACTATAGGTATACACTTCTGATATTGACCTTGTTTTCCGCCACGTCTATGCAGCACACTTGGCCCTGAGCTTGAAGGTCACAAGTATAAGTCAAATTCCAGACAATGTAACATAAAATATAGACTGACATACAAGTGCGTAAAACCGTAAGGTGTGGGAGCAGGAGTAGGCTATTCCAACCATTAAGCTTGTTCCACCATTTACTGAGTCTTCCAGACGGATAGAAGATGGTGACCGAGTGGGCTTCTGAACCCAGGGCTTGTCTGCTTTTCTTTTTATTGCTTTTATCTTTTATTTCTCCCTTTTCTCTTGTTTTCTGTTCCTCTCTTTTATTTTACTTACCTCTTGTTGAAGAATTTGGTCACGGCAATGGCGTCATTGTGGGTGGCAGTGTGTGGGCTCAGTGTGGACTCATGTTGGTGGCATCGTCGGAGGTGAGTTTGGGTTCCTGGCAGCATCTGTGTCTAGCGCAGGTTGATGGAGGAAGTGGCTGAGGCGGGTTTGGGCCTGGTACAAGACCCAGCGGCTGCATCAGCAAAGCAGGCCTGAAGCACACTCATGGTGGCAGTGGGGTACCCAGCAGCATTGGTAGCGCCTGCATTGATGAGATCCAGCAAGAACTCGTAGTGGCAAGGGCATTGGTAGAGACAAGGTGGTGCCAAAAAGTGGCGACTTTCATTCCAGTGCTGGCAGCGCAGTGAAGGGGTCTTGTGCCTGGTCACCAGGTCCATGGCCCATAATGGAGCACTTAACAAGAAGCACTGTAAAGTTGGAGACATTTTCTTTATTTCATTGGTTTTCTGCCTTTATATTCTATGCTTTGGTTTATTTTTCTGTGTTTTAAGGTGGCGCTGGTGAGTGGCAACACTATACAACACTTCATTGTATTTTGTGACAAAATGCATGTGATAATAAATCAGATCAAATCAGAAGATAATGACTGATCTGTGCTTCCATCCTGCCTTTTCCTCGTTAAAAATCTCTCTATCTAAGCCTTGAATCTACTTAATGATCCAGCCTGGACAGCCCTCTGTGGTTAAGAATTCCACAGATTCAGAACCCTCTGAGAGAATCAATTCCTCCTCATCTTGGTCTTAAATGGGCAACCACCTACTCTAAGATTATGCCATCTGGTCATAGGCTCTCCCATAAGGGGAATTAATCTCTCCACATCGACGTTGTCAAACTCTGAAGAGGGTTATATGTTTCAATAAGGTAGCCTCTGTGATTTATAGATGAGGACCTCCAAATCCATGTATACTGAAGCTTTCCGCAGCCTTTCTCCATTTAGAGAATGTTCAACACCTCGATTCTTTCTGTCTAAGTGCATAACCTGATATTTTCCCACGTTATGTTCAATCTGCCAAGTTTTTGCTGCCACATTTAACTGTCTAAAGCCCTCTATAAACTCCTTGTGTCATCCTCACCACTTGCCTTCCCACCTATATTTCTGTCTTCTGCAAACTTGGCTATAGTACATTCACTTCTATCATTGTAACAATTGTGGCCCCAGCACTGATCCTCGTGGCACTGCAGTTACAGGTTGCCATCCTGGAAATGACCCTTTAACTCTCTATCTGCCTTTAGTTAGCCAATCCTCTTTCCATGGTATTATACTACACCCAACTTATGTGCAGTATCTTATCCAAAGCCTTTTGGGAAATCCAAATATATTGTATCTACTATTTTCCCTTTATCCTACTTGTTACCTCCTGAAAGAATTTTAAAAATTTGTCAGGCACAATTGTAACTTCACGAAACCATGCTGACTTTCTTTGACTATACTATATATTTTTATGATTACAATCTGCTATTATGTTCTTTGTGATGGATCCTAACTCTTTAATCACAGATGTTAAGCTGTTTGACATATAGTTATTTGTTCCTTTGTCTCCATCCCTGTTTGATTAAGGTTCCAGTGATCTGCTTGACTGTTGCTAGTGCTGAATTTCAGATGAGATGTTAAATCAAAACCTTGTTGTAAAAAATGAAAATCCCAGTATGCTACTTTGAAGAAGTGGAGCGGTGTTCGCCCCAGGGTTCTAACCAATACTTAGTCCTCATGTCACACAGCACAAAAACAGATTCTCTGAGCATTAGTACATTGCTGTTTGTGAAAGCTCGTTCTGTAAATTGATAGCCACATTTTCAAACATGATTCCACTTCAAAATGCTTTAGGATGTCCTTTGGTCATGAAAAGTGCTATATAAGTGCAAATATTTCTTTTCTTTCCAGAAACCTTTCAAATGAATTAATGAATTAGCTTTATTGTCACATATACTCAATGAGCACTTACAGCGCCATCTTAGGCAAAAGGTACCTAGGCACAGCTTCTTTAGTTGCAAGATCTTGGAAAATAGAGAAACAAAATGACCAGCTTTGCAGAAATAAAAGCCCAGAACAGCGGTCTTCCAACCCAGACCATGCTAGCACCTAGCCTACAGTCCGCACCAGGCCCTGGCTCCAGACCGTGCTGGGCTTCACCTTGAGGATCATGAGGCTGGGACATTGCTTCAGATTGGTATGCTGGGCTGAGGACGCCACGCTGGGCCAAGAGAACACCACACCAGACTGGGTGGTCGCCACGGGAGACCGCTAAGCCAGACTGGGAGTTGTTGCTGGAGGCCAGGAGTTGTCGTCTGGAGGCTGGGAATCATTGTTGGAGGCCAGGAGTCATCGAAGGCCGGGAGAGGAGGGAAAAAACACTAACAGGAAATAATGAGAAGAAAAGAAGAAGAGCATGCAGAGTGGACAAGCTCTGACTTAAGTGCCCTACTGTGCCGCTATTTCTAGTTGTTAACTGAATGTGAGAGATTCTATATACTGAATTTATTATATCCAAGACAGGACTTTTGACTGTCCCAACTCCCAAAACTGATCTTTGATTGCATTTGGTGCCATGATTCCTCCTGTATGATTTTAATTTGTTTTTGTTTTTTCAATAGCTCGCAAAAGAGAGTCGTTACTGTCTTGAAATTGATAGAAGCCCAAAATGGAATGGCTGAAGAGAATTTAGGAATAATAATCACCGTTGTCCAGAACTTATTGTGAGGGCTTCTAGTCCTAGTCTCAAGTTTGAGTCTGGACCCCCTGCTTTGTATGATTCATTTACCCTTTACAAACAGAATTACTGGGGAAATCACTAACATAATGTGGCATGGTGACTCAGTGGTTAGCATTGCTGCCTCACAGCACTGGGGACCTGTGTTCAGTTCCAGCCTCAGGTGACGTCTGTGTGGAGTTTACACGTTCTCTTCATATTTATGTGGATTTCCTCTGGGTGCTCCGGTTTGTTCCCATAGTCGAAAGATGTGCAGGTTAGGTGGATTGGCCGTGCTAAATTGCCCATAATGTCCAGCAGTGTGCAGGCCAGAAGTTTGGTCATGGCAAATGGAGGGTTACACGGACGGGGTGGGTCTGGGTGGGATGCTTTCCAGAGGGTCGGTGAGGTCTGGATGGCTTGTTTTCACACTATCACGATTCTGTGATGGTTAGACTTGTTTTTAATGCTAATTAAAAGTGCACAATTACATTATTGTTAGTTTTAATCCTCATGAAATTACTGTTGTTTCCAACCAGGGCTTTTTCGAGGGCCTGCAGGAGTTGGTGGAGAAGTATGGCCAAGTTTGTGGGTAAGCAGATTATTACCATCTAAATGTTATCACTACCCTGACCTCCTGTAGAAAGCAGGAAGAAGGATTCTAACATTGATCGGGAGAAACGTTTTTAACCAGCAAATGGTTAGATTGAGAATATGTGAAATAGGAACAGGAACTGATTGTAACCTCAGCTCTACTTTGTTATTGATCCCCATAACTTCAGATCTCCTTGTAGATAAAGAAAAAATCAACCTTGAATATATGCAAAAACCTGCAGCCAATCTGTTCTCTGGGATAGAAAATTTGAAAGGTTAGCAACCCATGAGAGAAGAAATTCTTCCTGAAATACCTCTTAAATACCCCTTACGTGGAACCCTTTATCACAAGGAGTAGTTGATGTGCCTCATTTAGATGCACTTAAAGGAAAGATTTTAAAGGGTTGGTGTCGTGCAGGCTCAGGATGAGGAATATTTAAGCTTTTTAAACAAAAAGGCATGGCAACATTCTAGGGCAGTTATTTTGATAATGACACCCAGAGTGGGACAGGAAGGAATAGAGGGAACAAGCAGAATGCAACAGAAAGCATAGTCAAAGGGGAGAAAAATAGTAAAAAGGCAAAATCAATGCTCCTTTAATTCAACACATGAAGTGTTCACAATAAAACAAATGAATTAACAGCACAAGTAGAAGTTATTGGGTGGCATGGTGGCTCCATGGTTAACACTGCTGCCTCACAGTGCCAGGGACCTGGATTCAATTCTACCCTTAGGTGAATGTCTGTGTGGAATTTGCACGTTCTCTGTAGAGCTCCGGTTTCCTCCCACAGTCCAAAGATGTGCAGGTTAGGTGGATTGGCTGTGCTAAATTACCCCATTGTGTCTAAGGGTGTTCAGATTAGGTAGATTAGCAGTGGGAAATGTGGGATTATGGGGATCGGTGGGGAGCTGGGTCCGGGTGGGATCCTGTTCGGAGGTTTAGTGCAGACCTTATGGGCCAAATGGCCTCTTTCCGCACTGCAGGGATTCTATGATTAATTGGTAAGATTGTATAGCCATTTCAGAGATATGGTTACAAGGAGGTTAAAGTTGTGACCTAAGTATTTAGGGGTATGTGATTTTTCAAAAGGACAGGATGGAAGGATGGTGAAGTAGTTTTGCTGGTATTAGAGTTAGAATAAGTATGATCAATTGATGTAGAATCTCTTATGGGGGTAAGAAATAACAAGGGGAAAAAGATACTAGCGGGAATAGTCTATAAGCTCCCTAACAACAGCTGTTGTGTAGAATACAGAATAAGTCAGGCGATAATAAGGGCATGTAAAAAAGGCAGTTCTGTAATCATGAGTGACTTTAATTTTCAAGTAGATTGAGGAAGTCAAATTGGCAGAGGTAGCCATGAGGAAAATGTTACGTATTTGATTCCTGGAACAATATGTTGTGCATCCAACCAGTGATCAAGCTATTTTGGATCTGCTGGGTGCACTGAGGTAGGTTTAGTAAATGATCTTGGAATAAGACATCCCCTTGAGAACAGTGACCATAACATGGCATTCAGTTTGAGAGGAGAAACATTAGTCCGAAACAACTGTGCTAAATCTAAATAAGAGTAACTACATAGGGATGAGGGCTAAGTTGGCTAGAGTGGACTGGGAAATGAGTTTAGCAGAAAAGACAGTTGAGAGACAATGGCAGGCTTTTAAGAAACTGTTTTGTGACTTAGAGCAAACATATACCCCAGTGAAGAAGAGGATTCGAAGAAAGGGAAAACCAGTCTTCGTTAACCAAGGAAGTTACGGATAGTATCACACTGTAAGGAAAAACATACAATGTGGCAAACTTCAAGGTTAATTAGAGAACTGTGGTAGTTTTAGTAGGCAGCAAAAGATGACTGAAAGAAAGTGAGGAAATAAACTTTGAGAGCATACTAGTTATTGAGATAAAACAGACAAGAAGAGCTTCTTTAAATATATTAAAAAGGAAGAGAGAGGTCAAAGTGGCACTTAGCTTGTTGAAATAGCAGCTCCCATTTGCCAATCACACCCAAGCCCCACAAATGCTGGAAAACCAGTCAATTTTAAATTCCACAGTGGAGCTCTGTTAAATGTTCTAAAGTGTTCTGCTTCTCTACAGCAGAATACATGGACACCTTGATATCCTGACATCCACCACTGTCAAAAGAAAGTTCACATGGGCAAGGCCTAGGGATGTATTCACAGCATTCTGCCATCTCCTGGTTGTCATGGAGAAGTTAGTAGCAAGACCATCATGTCTCCATCAACAAAAACCTGTTGTAATCTAGGGTAGCGGAGTTCAAAACTAGGGGGCATATTTTTAAGGTGAGAGGAGAAAGATTTAAAACGGGCCATCTTTTTTACAGAGAGAGTTGTTTGTGTGTGGAATGAACTGCCAGAGGAAGTGGTCAATGCGGTTACAGTTATAACATTTAAAAGACATTTGGATAAGTTCATGTATAGGAAAGGTTTGGACGGATATGGGCCAAGTGCAGACAGGTTGGACTAGTTTAGTTTAGGAACATGGTCGGTGTGGACTGGTAGGACCAAAGGGTCTGTTTCCATGCTGTATGACTCTATAAATACTATTGATTGAACGTACAATTTATTTGTTTAATCCCTACACCCTTCCCGCCTCTTCTTGAATAAACTAATTCATTGTACCAGTTATCAAATGGTAACTATGCAATTCATATGGGAGCATTGATGATGAATGCCATGTGGCTAGTTAGTGCTCACAAATTACAGCATCTGACATCGCATAAACGCTTCCAGCATGGGTCAGTGATTAAAAGTTAGGAACAGGATCTCTCAATGACGTTATCTGTCTGCAGCCTAGGGAATCGAACTGCCAAGAAAGCTGAAATCAGTTTATTCAGGGAGTATCATCCATGGTTATGCATCAGGAGACTCTGAGAGAGCACCTTGAATATAGCTTAACCATAATTCCTCTAACTGGACTTCTTCCTGCAAGCCTGCGTGGTGCTGATTTTTCTGAGCTAGGTGTTCCCAAGAAGTTTAAGTAGTTTTGTGTTCAGGAATGTTTAAGATAAAAGAAATAACTTGCATTTACATAGTGCCTTTTATTATCCCTGTTTTTTCTAAAGGGTTTTACAGTTATTGAAGTACAGTACTTTGAAGTCCAGTTATTGATTTCAAGTGTGGCTATTAACTTGTGCAAGGTCTCACAAACAACCATAAAGTAATACCAAGTAGTCTGTTTTAATGACGCTAATTGAAGGATAAATATTGTCCAGAATAACTTCCCTGTTCTTCTCCAGGTACTGATTTGGGTCTGACAAGAAGTGGCTAGTGGAAAAGTTGCTGATTTGCTTTAAATTTCCTGATTTTCTTGCGTTCTAATGGAAGATTCCGTTAGATTGGACAAGAGCGATTGTAACTCTTCCAATCGGAAGAAAGGGAGTCAGAAAGCTGGAAACTACAAGCAATTAGCTTAATGTCTGTTCATGAGGAAGATGTTGGAACTATTCATAAAGATGTTGTAACAGGGCATATGGAAAATTTCAAGGCAATCAAGCAGAGCCACCATGGTTTTACATAAAGGGAAATCATACTAAACCAATTTATTGGAGTTTGGTGAACAAGTAGCAGTTGCTGTGGAGAAAGAGGAACCAGTGAATGTGCCAGTGGAACCAGTAGCTTTATTACACCTATAATTTGGCTGTGTGAGTCTCTGAAAGTACTACAGACTCGTCATTCCAGCCGAACAGCTTGCCTTCTTTGCTAATGCAACTTTTCCCCTGCTGTAGCAGCCTTTTTTGCTTGAAAAATGTTCTTTACAGTAATTCCAAGATATAGATTTATGTCTGGGCAATGAAATTTGAAAATTAATAATTCAGGTAACACATCTTCCTAATATCCTACTTAAATATGAAGACCAAAACTGCACACAGTACTCGAGGTGTGGTTCACCAACTCCCTATACAAATGTATTAGTACTTGGCTTCTTGTATACTCCATCCTGCTTGCAATCCATTTGCCTTCCTGGTTGCTTGCTGTATGTGCATGAAAATCTTTCCTGATTGATGTGTGAGGTCATCCAGATCTGTCTGTACTGCGACATTCTCCTTAAATAATATGATTTTAAGTTTTTTGTACCAAAGTGTGTTGCCTCACATTTTCTCATTATATACTCCACCTACCAAATTTTAGCCCACTCTCTTGGTTGCATTTCTTTGAAGACATTTTGGGTTGAATTTTATTATGAGAGTGAGATCCGCTATCAAACCCCAGAAAAAGAAATGCAACAATGGTGCTGGATGAAGGCTAGAATTAATGACCGCTTGAGGGAGTACTCCCGTCACCGTTGAAATTTGCCTCACAAAGTGAAGGCCTGCACCAAGTGTTTACCCTGCCAATTGAAAGCTAGCAGACTGGTGGCTGGGCAAGGGTCTAGGGGCAGTTTCTCCTTACTGTACACATTGGATGTGTTTCTGTTCTCCCCAGGCTCTTATTCCCTCCCAAACCCTATAAGGTAATCCTTTCCCTGTGTTTCTTCCCCAATTCCGTCCTGATTCTGACAATCCCAACACTACGACACTGCTCGCCATGGCCTGTCATCGCGGGCTCGCACATATCTTTCAGTTTGTTCCTTTGCTGCCTTTCCCTTTCTGGGAATACATGGAAAATAATGGATTACCCAAAAATAGCTATCAGGCTGTTCTGTTTTGCTAATTTCTGTGTCCCTCTTTCATGAATGGGATGTTGCAACCTTTGTAATCTACCAGGACCCTTCCAGAATCTTGGGAACTTTGGAAGCCCATGTACCTACTTTCTCTGCAGCACTTCTTTTACGATGCTAGAATGTAGGACTTGTTAGTTCCATTAGATAGCTTTAAGTTCCTTGCTCCCTTTTGCCCATTGATTTATAAATTTGATAAATGGTTTATCCCTTCTTATTATATTATCCATATTGTTGGATTGTTCTATTGTTTTGTCCTTTCTTGTGCATTTTCTAAATTTTGTTTCAGCTGAATCCTCCCCTCCACAGTTCATTTTATTGCTTCTTTAGCACTTACTTGATTTCTAACTCGACTGGGGAGGTACCAAAATGAACACACCAAACGTTTGATGGTGGGAGTTTGGGGGTAGGTGGTTGGAGACTGGACGTCATGTGATGAAACTTCAGGGAATGCAGCCAAACAGTTGGAAAAGAGGCAATTGTTGAGTTCTCGATTTTAGTCAGACTGAGCAAGTTGCAAGATCAGGTTGGTGAGGTAACTGAGTGGAAAGACACACAGTGTTGTAAACTCATCTGTGAACTCTGTAAAAGGATTTCAGGATTCTGGAAATGATTTGTCAGTTTAGTTAAAAAGCCATTTAATGTGTAACATAGATATTGTTGCTAGTCTGATCTTTAATCCACGATAGTCTTATGTTTGGTAATTACTTATTTTAGACTTCAATGTGAAATATGTGGTTAATTGACATTTTTGATTTTCCATCTATCAGAAAGATATGGAAAGAATGGCAAACAATCGACATCACTTCCTTGGCTGATAAAAGGATAATTTGCTGACTTTGAGGCACACTATGTCCCATTCAACATAAAATAACAGCAACAACGTGCATTTGTATAGCTCCTTTAACATAGTAAACTGTCCCAAGGCACACTTCAGTGGAGCACTGTCAAACAAAATTTGACGCTAAGGAAATATTTGGTGACCAAAATGTGGGCAAAGAGTTAAGTTTTAAAGAGCATCTTCAAGGATGAAAGCAAGGCTGCAAGTTTTAGGGGGAAATTACAGAGTTTGGGGCCTTGGTGGTAGAACACATGACTGCTGTTGGTTATTCAATTAAAATCAGGGATGTTCTATGTAAGAAGAGACATGCTACTGTTCACAGAAACTCCTTTTCATGGGGAGCAAATATGGAGTGCTACAAGATCAGTTAATTTGGAATAAAGGAAACGGATTACAGGAAATGTGTTTTTTTTGTTCAAAAAAGGAGCCTTAATTTGCTTTGTGAGTGCATGAAAGCAGTATGCTGTTAATGTGCACATTTTCCATTCATTCTTGGTGTCTCATAATCATTAATTTTGATTTTGACCGAATATTCTTTGATACACAAAAAAGTCACTCTTGTGTCCAATTTATTTTGTTACTTTGTTCAACCCAGCTCAGAACTCAGGATCTTATCCAGTGGAGGAATAATTTACTCCACTGTGGCAGTTCAGCACAGATTTACCCTCATTGTCACTGGAAGGGAATCATGGGGAGGAAGTTGTGAATATAGCTCAAGGGCAATTTAAACTTGTGATTTGAAGTTGCTGGCCTGAATTTAGCAAGTGTTAGTCTGCTGTTCGCAAGATAAATTGGCTTTGGAAATTAAGTGTATAGAAAATTTAGAGCAATAATTGTTCTGAAATTATACATACCAACCATGGCCTGTCTCTTATTGCTAGGTGACAAATATGCCATTTGTTGTTGCGGTACTGAAGTTACTCCATTCTGTCAATGTGAGCATGTTCTGTGGTAAACAGTGTGGAATCTGGTGCCTGGAGGGGCCAGTGGAAAAAAAACTGGCAAAAGCAAGTTTATTTTTTGATTTTTTTGAAATACACGGTGTGATCACAGGGATGGCTGAGGAAATTTGATAGCCCAAGTGTTTAAATCATCCCAGTGTTTACTTGCGCAGGAATATCAACACAGCACTTATTCCCTGGACTGAGTACAAGTTATCTTGAGGGGTCAAGAGCAAGACATTGTAGATGCAAGATTAAATGTGAGCGATTTAGAACAGAGAACGTAGAGTGTGAAGTTGTGGCATTCACTTCCAAGGTAAATGGTTAAGGCAGAAACTATGTCAACATTTAAGATTACATTGGACCAGTGGATCAAGAAACAGGGTGAATAAATGTGAATAGTACTTTCTGCTCACAAGAAGGGTAAATGCCAAGATGGACTAGTTGAGCTGAATACTTTTTTTTAAAATTCATTCACGGATGAGGGTGTTGCTGGCAAGCCAACATGTATTGCCCATCCCTAATTGCCCAGAGGGCAGTTAAGAGTCAACCACATTGCTGTGCGTCTGGAGTCACATGTAGGCCAGACAAGTAAGAATGGCAGATTCCTTCCCCAAAGGACAGTAGCGAACCAGATGGGTTTTTCCTGACAATCGGCAATGGATGGACTCTTAAATCCAGATATTTATTGAATTCAAATTCCACCATCTTCCGTGGTGGGATTCAAACCCAGGTCCCCAGATCACTACCTGGGTCTCTGTATTAATATTATTTGTGGGATATGGGCATAAGTGGCAAGGTCAGCATGTATTGCTCACACTTTCCTACCCTTAAGAGGGTAATGGTGAGTCATCATCTTGAACTGCTGCAGTGCATCTGGTGCCAGTGCACCCACGGTGTTCTTAGCAAAAGAGTTCTAGGAATTGGACCCAATGGCAGAGAAGGAATTGCAATGTAGTTCTAAGTCAGGAGGGTATGTGGCTTGGAGAGGAACTTGCAACTGGTGATATTTCCACGCACCTGCAGCCTCAGGTGCTAGTGGTCTTGAGTTCTAAAGGTACTGTCAAGGGAAACTTAAAGAGTTGTAGGGCATCTGCTGGATGGGACACAGCAGTAGTCAAAGGAGTGAATATTTAGTGGCAGATGAGATGTTAAATTAAGCAGACCACTTTGTCCTGGATGGAGTCAAACCCCTTGAGTGTTGTTGATGCTGTGCCCTTCCAGGGAAGTGGGGATTATTACATTACACTCCTGACTTGTGCTTTGTAGATGGTAGAGAGACTTTGAGGAGTTGCGAGTTACTTACTTCAGAATTCTCGGCCTCTGACTTGCTATTGTAGCCATAGCATTTATGTGGCTGGGTCAAGTAATTTTCTGATCAGCAGAATCTCCCAGGATATTGATGGTGTGGAGGATTCAGCAGTGGTAATGCTGTTGAATAGCAAGAGAAATGGTTATATTCTTTCTTGTTGTATGTGGCCACTGCCTGGCACTTAGGTGGTTGTTGCCACTTATCAGTCCTGGTTTGAATATTAGGCCATGCTGCATGCAGGCATAGGCTACTTCATTACCCGAGGAGTTGCAAATGAAAATGAAGACTGCAGTCATCAGGTGTAAAGAAGGTTATGACTGAAGCAGCTGAGGATGGTTGGGCTAAAGAGGCAATCCCACAGTGAAATCTTGGGGCTGAGATGATTGGCTTCCACCAGCTGCAACCATTTTCCTCCAGGGTAGGTCTTGGCCAGCTGAGAGATTTCTCCCTGATTGCCATTGTCTTCAGTTTTACTGAGGCTGCTTGGTGCCTCGCTTGGTCAAGTGGTGCCTTGATGGTCAGCGGAGCCATAATCACCTCATCTCTACAATTGAGCTCTTCTTGACCATGTTTGAGAACTGGAGTTGAGCGTTAGTGAGCACGTTATTGTGGAGTATGCGCCACTATTGATCTTCCAACACGGTTAATGATTTGAAGTTGACTGATGTGGTATAAATTTGTGAATTGGACATGAGTAATTTTTTGCTGAGTCGGATTAATGCCAGTATCATAACTGTACAGGAGTCATAGAGCCATAGGGATCTACAGCACAGAAAAAGGCCCTTCGGCCCATTGTGTCTGCTTTGGTCAAAAACAACAATCTAACTATTCTAATCCCAAAGTCCAGCACTTTGCCCATAACCTTGTATACCTTGGCATGTCAAGTGCCCATCTAAATACATCTTAAATGTTAGGAGGGTTTCTCCCTCTACTGTCCTTATAGGCAGTGAGTTTCAGATTCCACCACCCTCTGGGTGAAAAAATCTTTCTTTACAATTCCTCTCAACCTTCTGCCTCTTACCAGAGCAGCCTGGATAGAGGAGTGGCCTGTTTCCATATTGCAACCTATGTATTTTTCATTATCATCTTTTCCCTTGTCTCCAACTGATGGAAAGCCTGCTCATCTTTAAATCAGTGGAGAATTTTCATGCAATAAAAGCAATCATGCTGTCTCAGTGGGGTTCAACTCATCCAGTGGTTGTGTGTTGTGATGGGCCCTTTTCAAACTGGTTAGCGTTGTAAGGATATCTGCCATTAAAGTTGCCTCTGGCTGGGCCACTCAAGCATTCAGGTCTCTGAAATCTGATGTGGAGAATCCATCAACTTTATACTCTATTGTATAATGTTGGTGGCATTAAGGGGACATGCCTTACATTAAATAGCGGGAGGCTGTGCATCAATTCCTGCCAGTTTTCACATTGAGTCAGAAGATAGAAGAAACTGATGTGGGATTCACAGCCACCGGTTCTAGGATGTCAGTTAGCTCATTAATGAGCAAATTAACACATTGTTCCTGAGCCCACTGTAGTTCTGTCTCGGCCCTGCGATTAAATGGAAACCACATGGCTTTCCCAGGCCTCCTGAAAACAACCCTGTCAGATATGCTTGAGGTGGAAGGGGAGGGATAGTTGGTGGTAATCAGAGAGCAGGGGGAAGGATACTGGAGCACAAACTCCTCTTATCATTTTCTTTGTTCCTCTTGAAACATCCCTCCCATGATCCCCACCTCGCACATGCTCATCTTTGGCCTGGAGTTCGTTGGTAGTTATAGGCCTCTGGTGGTTGCATTGCCAATAGGTACCACTGCTCCCAGTGGCACTGATGAACTGCCACTTCTGATTGATTGGCAGCTCTTAGTGGGAGATGCCCTGCAAACCTCCCAAATGCTGGAGTTTGCTCAACTCTTCCTGCTTCAGTACCTGTATAGTGTTGGCCTCTCTTAGAGAACTGCCCGCTGTTTCCTCATCAGTTCTTCGACTGGAGGGTGAAACCTATTGGGCGGATGAGCTCAAGCTCTATGTATTCATTACCTATCACAGAGACCTGAGGACATATTGCATGTTGACACTACGTTGAAGTCACTATTGTAGAGTGGATGTTTCCTCTTGTCGGCCAATCTGGAATGAGAGGTCATATTTTTAGGCCTGGGGGTAGCAGATTAGCAGATGAGGATAAATTATTTTTTTCAAAGGTTCGTGAATCTACCTCAGAGTGAGATGGATACTGAGACTTTGAGTAAATTTAAGGAGGAGCTGGGTTTTTAGTGAGTAATGGGTTGAAGGGTTGTGGACAACAGGCAGGAAAGTGGAATTGAGACTGAGTTGAGTTCGGCCATGATCATATCAAACGGTGGAGCAGGGTTGAGGGGCTGAATGGGCTGCTTTTGCTCCTAGTTCTGATGTTCTTATCAGAGGTGCTGCCTTTTAGATGGACCATTAAAATAAGACTGTCTACATTCTTAGGTGGATGTAGAAGATCCTGACATCATTGGAAGAAGAACAGAGTGTCCTGGTCCATGTTTATCCTTTGTGCACATCACAACGTAGCTGATAAATCTGATTGTTGCTTTCGGAGCTTGCTGGGTGCAGTTGGCTACAGTTCATAATAACTCATTGGCTGCAAACGCTTTGTGATGTCTGATGTCCTGAAAAACAACGTACAGATACAAGTTCTTGCTTTATTAATGTTCAAAGTCAGACAAGTTATAATTACACTGTTACAATGTTTGAGTAGTTGAAAGAACCTATACTCTATTTCAGTGGTAACATAGGCTAACTCTACATGCTTACAACCCTGATCCGAAACACACAAACGCCATCTAGCGGCCACAGACATACAGCATGAAAGAAAAGGAGCTGAAATAATAAGTGATGCAGTTGAAGATTGCAGAAGACACCCCAGTTATGAACGGGGTAATATACCAGGCTGTGAGACAAAGAAGGTACTAATGAATTTTTGAAGCCCTTGCATTTCTCCATTTTACCTCTGAGATGGAAGCATAAATAAAGTACGACACCAGGTTGTAGTCCAACAGGTTTATTTGAAATCACAAGCTTTCGGAGCGCTGCTCCTTTGTCAGGTGAAGTGGGTCACTTGAAAGTTT